CTATAGGGTGTATAGTGTAGACTACTGTTAAACTTTGCTACTTTCAACTGTAACTATCAAACAAATACTAACAATATTGTGACAATTTATCTCCTTTTATTTTGATACTCATATAAAAAAATTAATGTTTAAGTATTTGTTTATTTGCAAAAAAGTTTATTGTTACAAAGTACCTACTCTCTAAAATTGAATTACTTAAGGTAGTTGTCGTGCTGTAAGCATACCATCAGAAAATTTAAAATTTTTGTATACTTATTAAGGACATGACAATAATCCTTAAAATTTGAAGTCGATTGACTTCAATTAAAAATTGGATAATAAACATGGATTGTATACGCTTTCTGTAGTTCTGTACCAGTTTCTTAGTTATAAAAAAAAAACTAACTGTCAGAAGCTTTCAAAAAACTAACAGTCTTTTAATGTATTATTGCTGAGTTAAAAAAAAATAATTAAAAATTTTTAACCTTCCAATTGTTTATAAATAACCGTTTAAAGTTCAACAATTTGTAAAAAGTATACATCACTAGTGTCAGATAAAAACAACTTGGCAACGCTGTACGCGAGTATAGATATTATTTCCGCAGTAAATTCAAACACACTGATTCAGTCTCCAATATATCTATTGGTTGAGCATAAGCGACGTTGCCGGATTAAAACTTATGAAAATATTTGAAAGTATTACGTAAAGGTAACGTCTCCAGGGTACAGTCTTGCGAAAAAATTAGGAATCACTTAGCTACAAGCTCGTATACTTTTACGATGCCTATAATCTAAAAATTTTGGACAATATTGTACCACGACAACTACCTTAAAACTGACTAGTTACTACAGTTATTAGTGGCTGCTTTTTCACATACCATGGTTAACCATGGGATACCATGGTATCCTTATTATTAATAGATAATTTTTATGTAAAATTGTCCCCTAAATCCGAAAATACCGTCAAAAATTATAAAAGTAAAGCAGTTTTTAAGATATCCATATGATTTGGAAAATTGACTACCTATGTATATCCCAAAAATTGTTCTACTATTTTTGACGTAATTTTCGGATTTCAGGGGACAATTTTAAAAGGAAATTGGCTTCTAAATGTTCGGTATACAAATTGCTATTGACGAGAAATATTTTCGCTATGACAATTGGTCATTTTAGACTAATTCATTTTTAGAGACTACTGCTTGACCCTTTGATTTTGCGACCGGTGGTCTGCGCGCGTCCAAGCACTGCCAGCTCACCAGGAACGGCCCTGACATCAAGGTCTGTTCTATCTCGTTTCACGCAAAAAAATACCCTATTCTAATAGAATAATTCTATCAGGGCTTTTACAAAAGAGGAGTAAAATGGTTATTCTTAGCACTTTAAGGCCTCATTTGAGGCTTACAAGTTTCTCTGTAAGAAACAACTTTTAAAACGATTTTAATCTGTATAAACAGCACAAGAATTGTACACAAAACAAAAATGGCCGCCGTTCAAGTCTGTGCAGTGTTGCAGTGATTTTTGGTATGCGCGAAACGAGATAGGACATACCTTGATGTGTGGATTGCGGGTTTCTCTATGGTTCAAATGACATATAAGTCAAATCAGTAAAATTACTTTTTGTACTTCTTTGGCGACATTGATTATATTTTTATAATGTCTAATATAAAATTGTTTCCTGCAGCTTCGAAAATATATTTAAAAAAACTAGTTTATTTTATTATTGTAATTTCGTGTAGCCTTTTTATTTAATAATAGTTAAGTATATTTTATAGTGCAATATGAAAAGCGTTTAAGTTTTTTTATCTACGCCAGTGAGATAAAAACTCCTTATCCCACTCATTTTGAGTGAGATAAGAAGTTCATTAACGCACGCGTTTTTCTCTGCTTTTAACCAATCAAATAAAAAAGTAAAAATGTCAAAATGTCAAAATAACCCTAAATTAAGTCTTAGACAAAAATAATTACCGTTTATTTTTTCATTTAGGTAGAGGCGTAGATAAAAATTTGTACAATATACGTGTGATAACGCTTTATTAACGTACTTTTGCGAAATTTCGCATGCGTACGTTAATAAAGCTCTTATCCCACTTATATCGTAAATAACTATGTTTATAAAATTTTTTTGTAACTATTAACAAATACTAGAATATATTCTAAAATGGTGCCAACATTACATTTATAGCTGTCGTATAAATACATTAAAAACATTTTTGGGAGAAATTTTGTTTTATAATTGTTTTACCTAAAACGTTTTTGATACCATTATGAAATTTAAATTTTTTAGTTGGGATAATGCTGATGTAATAGTTTAGTTGAATAATGAATAAAACCCAGGGGCGTAGCTACCGCGGTATCAGCCGTACCAACGGTAAATGTCTAAAACCAGACCAAATTTAAAAATTTACCTTTACATAAAATGTATTACATACCTATATTATTTATTAAATTATAAAAAATTGGTAAATGCAAAAAAATGATACCCTAAAATTTTTTTTCTTTGCCCAAAATAGACTTTGGGCATGACACCCAAAAAGATTTTAGCCAGTAGCTTTTCCCGTATAAGGGCCCCTACCAGATTTTTGATATGGGGCCCCCTCGAGGCTAGCTACGCCACTGATAAAACCATAAATAATTACCCTATTACAACTTGTAATTTACAAGTATGTATTTAAATACAATGTCATACAATAATTGTATGACATTTTATTTAAATACATACAATTATTGTTGTCTTATAGCTAGCAAAACAATTGTGTTAACTGTCTATATTAATTTTTATTTCTTAGTACTTCTTTTATTCCATGATATAATCATTATAATTCTATCGTCAATGTTCACATATCCCATTTAATAAACTTGCAAATAACTTAAATCTATTTTTATTCAACAAATTTTGACATATTTGACAATTTATAAATATTAATTTTTCAGGGTTATTTTTAAAAACTCGGGGACCAAAAAAGTGATTGGATATATAAAATTAAAGTTTGTATAAAACAAATAAGAGGACTAAACATATTATTTTAAATTTTTTATTTATTATTTTGCTTTTAAGTGTGAATGGTGTGAGTGTAAAAATTTCAATTGCCCACCCTTAAAACTGCATTGCCCACCCACTTTAGGTTAGATTGAAAAAAATATCTACTATTTTCATTGTTTTTCTGCCAAAAAATCCTAATCTACTTTTTTATTTGAATAGGAAATGACAGTCTTAAAATTTGCAAAACATAGCTGACGAAAGTTCGCTAAACGCATTGCGTAATCAATTAATTAATTATTAATTAATTTGAAAAATTCAGTTATTAAAAAGTTCGGAATCCGAACTTTGGATGCACTCGGTCTGTATAATTTTACCGTAAAAATTCGTCTTATTTAAACATAAATAAACATAATTAAATTTAATTCAAAAAATAATAATTTAATATGTTAAAAACAAATTATGTTAATTTGTGATAAAAAACAACGCATATGCCCAGGGCCGGGCGCAGGATTTGCTCTTGGGAGGGTTATCATGTTTCATAAAAAATATTTTTCTAAGTAAAAAATATATATTTATAGGTATACTTAATACCTTATTAAAATTTTTCAGTATTTTAAGTGAAATTTTATCCTAGTATATTATTATACTAGAGTTAATGCAGGCTATTATCCACGAGGATGAGGTTTGCGTCTCGAGTCGCCAGACGAGAGACTTAAATCATCCGAGTGAATATTGCGCATAATCTCGAGTGTAATACTATACTTTATCTATTCCAATAAGTACATAATAAAATGATTTTTAAAAATAAATAAATAAAATGTGACATCTGTCATGGTTTACCTCACTTTTTACTAATTTTAAATGTTATTATAGTCGCCTTCTTCCAATTTAAAACCTGATTGGTCAAATCACAGTGAATATTGAAATCGGCCAATGATGCCTAACAACGTGAATAATGAGTTCATTATTCAAGTTGTTAGGCAGAAAATTTATAATATTTATTAATATTCACGGAAAAAACCCAATTTTAATAATATAATTATGCAATAGGAGTAGATAAAAATATGTATTTTTAGGATATTTTACAGTATTTCTAGTAAAAATTATAATTTAAAACTACCCTGGGAGAGGTTTAGACACCCAAAACTCTCCTGGGGGGATTAAAGTGCAACTATATGTTTAATATTTTTTGCTACATTTATTTATTTATTTTTATCACAATTTACCATAATTTGTTTATTAATTAATTATGAAATATGTCAAATAAATTAATTCTTTATAGTATAAAGTACATGCAGGGACCAGGTCCAGTTTATATCACCAGCTTATTAATATATTAATTATAGTTTATTTAAAAATAATAGTTTTTTTGTGAGTCTAGTGGGTCTTTTTTTGCCAAGCTCTAAATTTGAACCGGCCTACAATTGAGCGATGCACAAAAGACACGTCTTAGCCGAATGGCATACATTTTATTTTTAAGGCACAGTTTTATTTGTTTAAAGATAGATAAAACGTACTTTCAAAGTGAGGTTAGATAGGTCGGAGCTGTCATCAGTTATCGAGTTGTTTGATTGGTCCTGGTGGGTTTTTGTACAGCCTGAGAGATAATCGTGTAGTTTGGTAGTAGGAGTTGACAATAATAAAGCTTAAATTATAGATACTTAATATTTATATATAATATATCTTTAGATACGCAGCAGGAGTACTATATAGTACTATATATAGTTTGTGATTGCGAATATTCGCTATATCACACCACATAATATTCTACATATATTTTTGGTTACAAGTGGTATTCAGATCACAATTTTATTGAGGAAAAATTTTAAAAAATTCAAATCAAAAGTAATTGTTGCGAATATGTGACCATGGTACCATGGTAGAAGTCCTAGATAAAAGAGATATTGACAAACAAAGCGCTCCGATAAAAGGTGAAAAATTTGTGGAATATAATCTCTTAATATTAAGAATTTTTTATCATTAAAATACCAAATAATTAAATGTTTAAATGAAAATACTAACCATATTATTTGGTTTTTAGGTTTTTTAACGACACTAACAAAATTTAACCAAAAATATGGAAAAAATTTCTTCCTGCAAATTGCAAGCCAAAATATCATCGTCATAACCGATTACAAACTTTTGGAGTTTGTTTTGAGCTCTAATAAAGTTTTGGAAAAATCAAAGAATTACAATTTTTTGCACACATGGCTTGGAACTGGACTATTAACATCAACAGGTTAGTAATATTAATAAAAATATAAATAAAATAATAGTATACAATTTTTAGGTGCAAAATGGAAAGAGCGCAGGAAGATCATAACTCCAACTTTCCATTTCCAAATTTTGGAGCAATTTGTAGACGTTTTTGAAAATCAAGGAAAAATTTTGATAAAGAAACTGGAAAAAGAAGTTGGGAAAGATAGTGTGAATATTTTTCCTTATGTAACGTTATGTACTTTGGACATTATATGTGGTATGTAAATTTAATTAATAAGTAATTATCGAAGCTATAACACAAACAATATAAAATTTATAAAATATGTAGGTAACTATTCGGTTTTATATAAATTATATCTACTTGTAAATAATATTTTAGTCATTAGTCAAGTTTAATTATAATTTTTTTGAATGTCATGTTATGTTAAGATTGAAGTTTAGTATTTTTGTAATTTTTTAAGGGGGGTTTCCACATTCTTGGGTTAAAAAATCAGAAAATGATGAATTTACCAACAACGAAAAAATCAAATAAATCCTCAAAAAATCTTAAAACATAAATTTTTGTATTAAAAATATTAAATATATAGTTATGACAAATGAGTGCGGAATCTCTCCTATAAGAGTCAAAAATTGAAATTTCGCGCGACCAAACTGGTGGTTTAAAAAAAATGGGAAAAATCGAAAAAAGCCTTTGTTAAATTGAAAAAAAAGAGAAAAATTAAATAAATATCGAAACAAAACAGGAAGCCTGTAAATATCTTTATATTCGTTAATTTAGTTTAAAATAAAAAACAATAAATTATTTTTTTCAGAAATTCGGAGATGATTTCATTTTAAATTACATTGCCGTGGCAATTCATCAGTGTCGTAAAATGCATTTTTTTATCAGATTAATTTTCATAGTAAAAAAGCAGCAACTAATACCTGTAGTCTACAGCAATTTGTATCCCAGACATTTAAAAGTCAATTATATATAGGCTATATATATATATTACATAAAAATTGACTTTTAAATGTCTGGGATACAAATTGCTGTAGACTATAGGTATTAGTTGCTGCTTTTTTACTATGAAAATTAATCTTTATTGACTCATTCATTTTTAGAGAGTAGGTCCAAATAAACTGATTGGCCCAAAAGAATAATAAAAAAATATATTTTCATATAACTAGAAATAAATATTTTAGTTCCTGAGAATGCTTTATATTATTTAAGTTTAGTACTTCAAATATTATTTCATATTTTCATATTATATAATATAGCAGTTTTTGAGATATATTTAAATAGTTAATTCTATTTAAAATGGAAAATTGACCATTTCTTAAAATTTGTTTTGTTGTTATAACTTTTAAAGACATTTTTGGATTCAGCGGACAATTTTACATAGGAATGTCCGTGATACAAATTGCTGTTGACAAGAATTAGTGGCTGCTTTTTCGCTATGAGAATTAGTAATTTTTGACTAGTTCATTTTATTTCACTATACACTAAAAGTCAAAAAGGGTCCAAATCCATAAATAATATAATTTTTGATGGAGAAACTTTATAAATTTTATAGTTGCCGGGGGCCCGTGGCATTTTGCCTGTTCTGCCACCCTGTAGTTACGCCACTGTTGCTAGCAGTAAAAATTATTCTTGTGTATGTTTTTCTCGAAAAATATATTTGGTCTTAAGAATATAAAGTAAGTAAAGTAAGCTGAATCAAAAATTGGACTTAGAGCACAATGTCTATAGGTATAGGTATAACGCTGAACGTTGTCTCGCTGATTTTAGAATGGTTTACCCTTCGATATAGAGAGCGGCAAAACGGACCTCTACAGGTTCTTTTTGCAGCCCCCAAACTACCGCTGGGGCAAGAACCCGCATATATATATCCGGGCCTGGTTAAATTATTGTATACGAGTATCATCAGCGCCCTCCAGGAGTACCATAAAAAATTATCATAAAGTCAGGAAGTAAAAGAAGGGTCCAAGTAAATTGCAATTCACATTTTTAGGAAATATTTTTCTGTATAACAATCTTTAAGAATAAAACAAACAATTCGTTTCAGAATAATTCGTTTTTCCTATTTCCTGAAAGGTTCCCTAAATGTAGGGAACTTTTTAGGAAATAGAAATAGGAAAAACGAATTATTCCTATTTCCTGAAAAGTTCCCTACATGTAGGGAACTTTTCAGGAAATATTTCCTAAAAATGTTTGTCTACCTACAAATTATGATCATTTATGGATTGGGCCCTTTTTTACTTTAAGTGTATTCCATTTATTTTTGTATTTTAAAAAGGAGCCAAAAAGGCAGCTCTCATTCGTTATTTTTAGAAGATATAATTATCCAAGATACATTATTATAATACAAAATTGTAGATTTTTGTTAATCTGCCCCAGTAAAATATTACAAAATAATCTTAAATTCATTGTTTTTTTTTGGGGCACTGGTTCTGAATAGCTTTCGGAAGTTCTGGACTATCATTGGGTTTTTGCATTAGAAATGTATAAAATGTAGTATTGGGTAAAAATTTATTTACAAGCAACTTTCATTATACACATTTTTGGCCAATGTTTAGTACTAACAATTCTTAACGCCGCGGTGACCAATGTTTGTACTCGCATGGTAACTTAAAGAGAAATTTTAACTTATTTTCAAGATATAGGTATTAAAGGTATTAAGTAGTAATTTGTAGTACTGCAAATGGTACAATAAATGTACTTTTTTATTAATTTGAGTAGGTTTGATTTAATTCCTCCTCTAAAAAGTTAATATAAATAAGTGCTTCACTAAAATAAACAATTATTATTATTATTGCTTATGTTAACTAGAAGATAGGAAGATCTTAATATTCAGTTTTTTGGTATTTTTATTCCATAACTGTACTTAAAGAATAATTGTTTTTAAAGTACAAAAAATAAAATGTCTCTTCTTAACATAAATAATAACTCGGCATTATTGGTAAGTCTTGAAATTTATATTTAATCCCCCTTTATCAACCTGAATAGGTGGGTTTATTTTTCTTATAACAGCCTGAATTGGATAGCTATGGATGTCTTTAAGTAAAGGCAATTTAAACTAAGTGGAATTTTTTTGTAATGGTTTCATAGCATTAACAGTGACTTCCATATTAGATTTATTTACATCCAAGATTTGTCCAGGATAAGTTTCACCTGCGGATTAAAATTAAAAATGGGATGCTCCATATGACTTGCTAGAGAGCTGGAATTCAAAATATTTTTATTTATAGGGATTTCTAAATATTTTTCTTAGGGGAAAATGCGTATGGCGAAGGAACTTTAAAAACCAAAATAATAAAAACGTTAAAACGTAACGATAAAAAATTGCATTTAATTTTATTTAGCAAAAAAGTATACTTGTTTCTGTTTCAGGTTGTAATAAATTAATATATCCCTTGTCTAATTTGGGGTGCCCACAAACAGCATCAAACGAACATTCAAAGCTTCAAGTTCGTAGGATTTGCGTTATCTTCTGTCCAGGTTACTTGATGTAATTTGGTGATTTTTGGAATTATTTGTACAGAATTGGGAATTCTTTTTTTAATCTCGATGAATGTCTGGGATTGTATTTCAAACAGTTGAACAGACCGGGTTCTTTATTCCTTTAAAATGCTTAGTAATTTTCGTAAAAAATGTTGAATCGATTTTTATAATGAGAAGCCACCATCGTAACGACGCTTTTCTTGAAGTTCAGAAAAAGTTGGTGCAAGATGTGCCCAGACGGCGTGAGCTCCGGGTTCTGTATTCTCTGACACTGTACCATATGATTTAGGTATGGACTTTTAATTTTCTTTAACATAAACAACAAAGCGACAGATGCTGAACTTCCAAAATGCATAATCTGTGTGTGTGTGTGGTACTTGGTCTCATAATTTTCAAAGAAATCCATGTGAATAAATATTTCATTATTTTTATGCTGTTTTATGGGTTTTTGAGCTGTTGGTACTGATGAAAAATTTTGAATTGATGAGTCCTATAACTTGACCTCTAATGTTTATAAAGCTTCCTTCTTTGTGGAATCAACGATGTTATTTCTCGAAACTCTAACAAGTGTATCATCTTTTTTGCTTCGTTTAACTTTGTAACTGGTGGTACGAAATACTATCGTTGAGCATTTTACGCATGCAAAACAAATTTGCATCTAAATTAAAATTATTATAATTTCACTACCTTGCAAGTGCATTGAAATTCTTAGAAAAAAATGAATAGACAAAATGTCTAGACAAGCTGTTGTGCATTTGTAAACAATCTTTTTGTGTAATGTTATTTTTGCCAACATTCAACATATATGTTGTTTGACTCAAATTAAATTAAATTAATAAGATTGTTAGGACCTGTAGCTAATAAGAACAAAAGGCCCTTGGTTTGCTTTAGGTACCTATTAAAGTATAGGATATAAACGTTTAACTGCAATTTTATATAAAAAAAAATTTAATGTTGAAATGTTGAAAAGAACATTCTCCGCTGCTTTTGGTGATCCATCAAACTAAAGTAAATGCGAAACACTATAGGTTCTTTCAAGTTAACCGTTTTGAGCAGGCAATGCAGTCCCTGGTTTTAAATTTGCGTTCCCATTACTTTTCTGTTTCATACTAATTGTACACTGAACGTGTTATTAATAAAAAAGTACCTTAAATCAATAAACGATAACATTAATTTTCAGCAGATGACGGGTGTTGTTAATACAATGATGAATAATGAGCATGGATCTAGAAACCATGGTATTATTATTATAAACGGTAGACAATAGTTTATGATTATTTTTTATTAAATCAATAAACAATTACCATAGATCCCTGGTTATTAATACTACGAACAAAAAGGCATTAGTTTATGATTAACTTAAATTAACATAAAATCCAAGACGAACCCAATTTAAATTATTTGCCAAATTTACTCACCTTTTTATTTAAAATAAAGGTTTAAAGGGTGCGTGGGTAACCTTTGTTTTATTAACATAGAAATAAGAAAAAAATATCTTATACAAATTACCAAGCAATCAATCACAAAAGAGGTTTCTTTAAATAAAGACGTTTTTGGTGAATACATTTTTATTGCAAGAGAAATTTACAAATAATATTAACCTTTGGGCTCTCAAGAGGTTTAGAAAATGCTCCTTCTAAAAAGTTCCAAAACATGCTTTCTTGTAAAAAGTCAATATTAAATATATAAATTTTAAAACATATATCGACGCCTTAATTACATGAAATCCTAAATAATTATATTTAAAATATTGCTTAAAGTGTATATTTAAAAAACTCAAAACGCATTCACTAAAAACTTAAAAATAAAAAAAATATCCAAATAAGTCAAAACTGTTTAAACATAACTTCACAAGCTCACTCACCTCGGTTTCGTCAATGTCCACTCCGTATATTAGGCACAAAACTTAAAAATGAATCCAAAAAGGTCAAAAGTGTTTAAAATAACTTCACAAGCGTACACCATTTACACCTTCTTTACTCAATGCTTACACACCTTGGCTTCGCCAATGTTAACTTCTTATATTTATCACAATTTTACCAATAAAGCTTTAGGGTTAAACGCGGAACTAACCTTATAACGCTATAAGACTGACTGAAGATAAAAATTGCATGTAAAAATTCCCCACCCAAAAGTGTTTCGATGACCAGAAGTCTACGACAGCGATTCGTAATAATAATGTTCATGTTGATTGATTCATGGTATGGCAGCATTAATTTTTGCGCGTTTTTGGAATTGAATGGTTAGGTTTGTAAAATCAATGTTTAGTGACTGTTAAGACAATAAAGGCGGTTTATTATTATTTATGTTTGCTGTTCATGGATAAATGACGAAAAATGTATTGTTTTAAAGATAAAGAACATCGTTTAATGATCGTCAATAGTTAGTTCAATAAATTTTTACGTTATATTAATGAAGGAAATAATTAATTTTTATGTTTTGCATTGATCGTTTTTAATGTTGGCTAGTTTATTGTTTCAATGTACTTAGTTATTAATCTATAATCACATTGTTATAATCACCAACACATAATATTAATGTACAAAAATTTGACGACAGCAGTTTATTAATTTTACGTACAGTTTTTCTTTCTGTGTAGCATTGGTGCTCAAAATTGGAAAGCACTTTATATCTATATTTGGGAAATACGATTATTATGCATTTTCCCTTAAAAATTTATAAAGTTTAAGTTTTAGATCTTAGTGCTGTTTGCTGTCAAAGCAGCTTAGCGAACTGCACCAGTTCGTTGCGCGGGGCCCCCTAAGGCGCGGGGCCCCGCATTTGCTACTCGTGCTACGTGGTTAATTCGGCACTGCCAATAAGATATGTATATGGACAAATTCCAAAAATGTATTTTTTAAATTAAACCATCATATCTTAAAAACTTATAAAGAGACTTGTATACTGTTTGAACGTAATGATTTGTCATAAAAAATATCCATTTTTAATGTCAGGATTTTTCGATAGAGGTGATTGGATAAAATTTAATAATGGTATAAATTGGTTTATTAATAATAAATTTAAAAAACTTAAAATATGAAAAAATTGTTATTCATTTTCTAATAAAAGATGAAATCCAAGAGGGTTGTACATACATTTGATTAGCAACAATTTTATTATTATTAGAGGGACCGTGGTTATTATTTATAGGGACCGCCGTTGTTCTTAGCAAAGAGACCGTCGCGACGCATCGTACTATAAAAAAATAATAACATATGATGATTTGTGATTTAGAAAAGTAAAAAAAAAAATAAATGGAAAATTATTTATTAAACAAATAGCTCGTTTACAAATCTTGATATAAATCTAGATTATCATAAATGTTTTGTATGTAATCATTTTCTTTGATTACAAAATTTCTTTTGGAAAACGGGTGAGGAGGTGAGCATTTGCATAATTTTTTAAATATGTAACAACCTTCCCTATTTTAGCGACAACGGTCTCTTTTCATGAGGACCGTTGGTTACAGGGGACCGTCGTTGCGTTTAGACACAAATAATGGAATTAACACCAAGGTCTCTGAGATCAGTTTAAAAAAATTTAGGGTTATGTATTGCATATATCATTGTACAAATCTAAAATGTTTAGTCAGGGTAATTCAAAACAATTATTTATTAAAAAAGTACGCATTAAAATATTACGCCTAAACTAAATTTAATAAATTAATATTTACAATTAGAAGTAGCGCTAGGTACTTAACGCTCTTAATACATAAGGAAAACACTTTTCACTTATCTTCTACCAATATTTTTAACACTCCACGACCGTCCATTTAGCGATGTCACATTTTACTAATATAAGAAGCGCTTGATTTAAATTATTTTTTCCTATAACGTAAGTTAATAGTTCTTATATTAACTAAAAAATATTTTGCAAAGATTAATTAAGGTAATCTACATACAAATATGGATTGTATGTCAAAAAAGGCGGCGGGAGAAAAGGGACCGTGGTTACGTTTTTTGGGTTAATATATCAGATTTTTAAAACACACGATATTTAAAGAAGCTATTAGTAACTGAATATTAAACACAGTTAATATTGAAGACATTTCATTAAGTAAATTGCACAAAAACTTCATATTTAAGTTTTTTCTGGAGCTAGAGACATGTTTTCTTCCATTACTGAATTTTGTCCCTAATATGTTTTTAATTCGAGAGTGTGTCCGTATATATTATACATATATATATACGTATATATTTGAAAATCTTCTGGCACTCAGTTATATTAAGTAAGGTGTGCAATTTAATCATGGAAAGATACACTCCTCAACAACGTTTGGGAATAATCCAATTTTTTATCAAAATAATCGTTCCAAATTATGGTCGTCATAATCGGCCTAGTGTGCAATTTAATTATGGAAGTTAATATTGAAGACATTTCATTAAGTAAATTGCACAAAAACTTCATATTTAAGTTTTTTCTGGAGCTAGAGACATGTTTTCTTCCATTACTGAATTTTGTCCCTAATATGTTTTTAATTCGAGAGTGTGTCCGTATATATTATACATATATATATATATATACGTATATATTTGAAAATCTTCTGGCACTCAGTTATATTAAGTAAGGTGTGCAATTTAATCATGGAAAGATACACTCCTCAACAACGTTTGGGAATAATCCAATTTTTTATCAAAATAATCGTTCCAAATTATGGTCGTCATAATCGGCCTAGTGTGCTTGCTATTCGTCGAATTCTGGAAAATTTTTAACTCAATCTTTCTTTACAAAATGTTCGCGAGTCAGTTAGAAAAGGATCCGGTCGAAGTGAAGAGAATGTTGCTGCCGTTCAGGCAAGTGTTGATGAAGACGCTAATTTATCAATTCCAAGACATTTTCAACAGTTGGGACTGTCTTCCACAACAACATGGCGTATTTTACGGTTTAATTTGGGCTTGCATCCTTACAAAATTGTTATGACGCCTTTGGATCATCGAAAACGCAGTGAATTTGCTGATTTTGTTCTGGAAAAAACTTGAAAGTAATGCTGATTTTGCAAAGAAAATCATCTTCTCCGATGAAGCTCATTTACATCTTTTTGTATCGGTGAATAAACAAAATTGTCGCTACTGGTCTGATGCCAATCCACAAATTATTCACGATGAGCCCTTCTGTAAAAGTGTCCGTTTGGTGTGGTTTTTGGCACAGTGGCGTCATCGGGCCTTATTTTGTTGAAAATGAACAAGGAGTTGCCGTTACTGTTAATGCTGATCGATACAGATCAACGTTAACAGAATTTTTATGGCATGAATTAGAAAATATCGATTTAACGAACATATAGCGCCGCGGCGCTACGTGCCATACATCCCGTGCCACAATTAATTTACTACGAGAAAAGTTCAAAGAATCAATTATTTCAAGAAATTCTGATATCGAATGGCCTTCAAGAAGCTGTGACTTAACACCTTTGGACTTCTTCTTGTGGGGTTATTTAAAGTCATTGGTCTATGCTTATAAAGCAGCTACAATTGAGGCATTAAAATTAATCACCAAATTCGACATAGGCCTTAATTTATTAAATAAAGTTATGTAAAATTGTAGTCACCTTATTCAACTCTGTAGGAGAAGCGGAGGCGGTCATTTGCATAATGTCCCTTTTAGAACATAATTCCATAGATTATAAAAAAAAATGTTGCTGCTCTAACTTATTTCGATTTTGTTTTATTTAACAAAGAAAACATATCACTCTTATTAAAAAACCCTTTACATTATATTGATAAATTAACGATTACTGCCTCAAAATATTAATTTAATATATAATCAGTGGCGGCTGGTGGATTTTGGGTATATCAATATCTCAGTTATTAGACATGGGACCCACATAAATTTTATATGAGTTTATAATGACATTAAATAAACAAGTTCGGCGCAAACAGAATTTAAATTGAAGTTTGCAAAAAAAGTTAGTTTTTCCTGTTGCCTCATCCGCCTCCAGGCCCCCCTATTTGAGATAATTCAAATTAAAGTGGTGCAATTTATTATCTACTATAGTTTATCGACAAATTTAATATTTTATTTTAAAAATCCATATATTACAGGTTTTATACCATTTTAAATATTTTTTTATTTTAATAAAAGGCAATGTTGCAGGAAAAACCAACTTTTTTTCGCAAACTTCAATTTAAATTCTGTTTGCGCCGAACTTGTTTATTTAATGTCATTATAAACTATTATAAATTTGGTGTGGGTTCCATGTCTAATAACTGAGATATTGGTAGGTATACATAAAATCCAATTGTATGTAAATACCAATTTATATTATGATTGTATTGGTAAAAAGTGCCTAAATCATTTATAATACAAAATTTGATTCATCACATACCTCGTGTACCTAATGTAAACGCTTACCTGAAATGGTGTCTTACACAAAAGCTGTTTAAAAAAAATCTGTCGCTTTTGATAAAGGGGGTATTTAACAAAGCTTATAAACTTTTATTTACTTACTCAGAGACCGCCATGGGGACCTCAATAAACGCCCAGGACAGCAAAAACCTGGAGTACGTGGCGTCGGTGAAGGAAATGTGCCGTCTTATCGTAGTGCGCGGATTTTCTGCATTCTTGATGTACGATTTCCTCTACAAGTTATCCTGGGAATACCCCAAAGAGAAAAAAGCCCTTAAAATCATCCACAGTCACACGAATTCGGTGATTAACTCTAGAAGAAAGGAACTTGAAGAAGAAGAAAAGAACGCCGGGACAGCTGTTGAAGATGATTCGGGTGTGAAGAAGAAGTTCGCATTTTTGGATATGTTGTTGAAGTCTTCTGTTAATGGAAGAAAATTAACTGATGAGGATATTAGGGAGGAAGTTGATACTTTTATGTTTGAGGGTCATGATACCACCACCTCTGCAATCAGCTTTACTTTGTATTGTTTGACCAAACATCCAGAGATACAGGTAAACATATTTTCTTTAAAAACCTTTCATCATACTTAGATTAAGATTTTTTTAATTAATTTTTTTTAGGATAAAGTACTCGAAGAACAAAAGCAAATAGTTGGTGACGATTTTAATAAACCAATTACGCACCGTGATTTACAATCGATGAAATACTTGGAAAACGTTATCAAGGAAGGAATAAGAATGTATCCTCCAGTGCCTTTTTATGCTAGACATGTTAATGAAGAACTTACTTTTGAAGGACACAAAATTCCAAAGGATGTATCATTGTTTATTTATGCATTTGGTGTTAATAATGATCCTGATAATTTCCCTAATCCAGAGAAATTTGATCCCAGTAGATTTGAAATTATAGATGGAAAATCGCCTTACTCTTACATACCTTTTAGTGCTGGACCAAGAAATTGCATAGGTAAGCCTTATTTACTTTAGAAACAAAATTATTAACATTTTTAGAAAGTTCAAAAAGTTGTTTCTACTACAAATATTTCTTTCCATCGATTTTACAATTATTGATTTATAAATTTGGATTAAAACCAAACAATTTTTTTACATATAAAATTGTTACTACATTAAAAATCATTAATTATACTAGGTATATATTTTATTATTTTAGGGCAAAAATATGCAATGCTTGAAATGAAGAGCACAATATCCAGAATAATTAGGCATTTTGAGTTGTTACCAAGTATTCCAGAACACAGCGTGCAGTGTGCAGCGGAAACTGTTTTAACTTCTAAGAACGGTATTAATATTAGACTAAAGAAGCGTAATTCCAAATAAGTTTGTAAGTGTAATAAAAATGTTGGTTTGTTTATTTTTAAAAAAGTACCTATGTGTTTTTGTAAACAACAAATAAATAAAAATTTTATTAATAGGCGGTTTTTACTTAATATAATATTGATAAGCATTTAATGTTTAATTATGTTAAGTGCAATATATTTTATTTAATAAATATTGCGTGATAAAATAATTTGTTATTAAATAAATTTAGGTATTACAAATAAAGATAAAGTCCAACTTATATTTGTTTAAGAATAAATGGGTACTTTTATTAATAATTACATTATAGTTATGTAATTCTATTAAGTTTAATGTTAATGTTGCATGAAGTAAAATAATTATTCGTTTATTATTTATTTATTTTATAGAATAATGTATTTAAATTAAATATCCTAAAATAAAAAAAAATAATGTCAATATATAGGATGTCCCGAAATTATAGCAAAAAAATGTTTTTATATTTTTGCCAAGTGGCGTTCTCTTTTAAAGGTACAGCCCCCTGAAAGTTGCCCATAAAAATAGTCCTTTTTATATATAAAAACTCTGCTGTACGAGAATCACTAAATTAGGGATTTAGGGATTTTATGACATGTGGAATTTGATAGTGTTACGGTTTTCTTAGGCCCCTTTGGATTTGGAGCCATATTTCTTAAATATTAGTCTGTAAGGAAGCCCATTTGATTTAGGAACTTTTATGTTTCTTTAAATTTTTTCGTAAAACGCACTGTTGTCGAGAAAAATGGCAAAATTTGATCGAATACATATCGAATCTCGAGATTCGAATAAAATTCTTAGGTTTTAATCGTAGGTGGCTAGCCAGCTGGCGTTAAGAATTTTATACAAATCTCGATCTGCATTCCATTTTATCCATTTTGCTCAAAACGGAGCGTTTTATAGAAAATTGCGAAAAATAAATTCTAAAACGCAACCAAATTTTGTGGCTCCAAAGCCAAGGTGCCTACGAAAAAGTATCTAAAAGGTTTCCCAGCCAAAACCGTAACACCATCAGATTCCACATGTCATATGGCAATTTGGCAATTCTTGTACAACAGGGTTCTGAGATGTGTAATAATGTATAGTCAATATTGACACCTAAAAACTTGTTAAACTAATGAGATGGTCATAATATTTATATTAAACCTTGCCACAAAGACGATACATTTCCACGTTTACATTTAATTTTTTTTTCTCCCGAGTAAGATAATATACAGCAATAAGAGACACATATTTTTATAAGAAATTGAACGCTGTACAAAAAAGCTTTTCTATGATTTTTCGATAAATTCACTGGTTTAAAAGTTATTTAAGATTAACATTTTTTCGATTTTTTTACTTTGACTGCAAAATTATCATTATTTTTATGAAATGAATTGTTAATTTTATTGTATTGTATTGAAAAAGTAAAAAATTTTGAAGAAAGATATTTAAGTGAAAATTCTGGTACTAATTTTACTCAAATTTTAGTACGATTAATTTGTTTACCTATATAATCTTTTTATTTCTGTGAAATTTAACATTTTATAAGATTTTATAAAATATTATACAATGAATAATTTTCCTTCAGCTGTAGAAAACAATTATTTTTACGAGAAAATAAAATTTGTAGTTTCCCATGCGCACTAAAGTATGATTTAGTATTTTGACCACAGAATAGAGGAAGGCAGAAATCGTACTTCCCAGATTTCGGGTCGCAAAGTTGACATAGAGCAGCCGTGTCGCGCACGCAGTTTGAAGTAGGTCAATCACCCATCGTCTGTGGCATCTTTTATATAATAGTATATTAGTATCAAGTTTTATAAACGCCATTTTAGTTACGAGTTTTATTGGGCACGAGCGAAGCTTGCAAGCGAGTGTTTATTAAAAACTAGTGTCTAGATAAGTTTATAAAACGAGTTGCATCGATCACAAAGAAAAAATTAAAGCCAATTATATTTGTTAAACATTTGACATGTTTCAAATGTCAACGGAATTAAACTCAATTTTATTTATATTTTTTATTTTTATTTATAATTTCAGCCCGTGTCTAAAATGCCCAAAAGCCACTATTGCTAACTTCTGCCCGTGACTAAAACGCCATAAAGTCACAGCTCGTCAATGTAGAAGTAGATAATAGTATATTATGTATCAAGTTTGATAAACGCCATTTTTTAAGTTTATAAACGAGGTGCATACTATACTTTTTCTACGACAAATAACTATTATCTTAAAATGATTTAAATCAAAAATTTGCATAGAGCGCCATCTATGAAATAATAGGGGAATCTGTGTGTCACCGTCAAATGTCACATTTATAAAGGTTATAAATCTAAAAGTATTTCTTGAAAATTGACAGTGTTTCACAGTGAAACTAAAGAAAGGAGTCCGTGTCCAAATTTAAGTTATAGTTTACTGCCGCCCGAAATTAAAAGGTCAGTACAATGTTCATATAAACTTTTCAAATATTGGCGTTGAGAAACTATTTATCACTTTTGTATTAGTATTATTTTATAAGAGAGGCACTTTATTTTAATGATTGTATGACATTTGACAACTGTCAACTAACTTAAAACTAACTTCAGCCCGTGACTAAAGCGCCATAAAGCCACAACTTCTCAATGTGTATTTATAAGGTCACTTAGTGTTATGGAAACATGTACGATAAAGGGCGTTTTAAAGGTGGGAGTAGAAAAATACATTTAACTTATTAGAAAAGGATAATTGGTGTAGCGGATTAATTGTTAAAACAAGGAGGCGGAAAAACTTCCGGAATCCGACCCGAAGAGCGACACCCACACTGACGAACCGGAAGTAAACCAACAAAGATAGGTGTAAGCAAAGAACTAACCTACCTACCCCCATTCATAAATCCCAATTGAATGGGATTATTACTAAGACCCAGGTTGAGGAGGATTCCGGATTGTACTTAGTTTTGGGTCAGTTCAATGTCCTCCAAAAACCACCACTAGCCCTCCTTATCCCACACTCCTCTAGCCTAATTTGGACGTATGGCCCGACCTGGCTGACAAAAATCAGGGAGTGGCCTTAACCATAGACACTGTCATCATCATAATCATGAATATCTTCAGCAGTTTGTTGGCAACTGAAGAGCCTAAACAGGTCGAATAAAGGGTAATGTCGTCAGTGTATAAAACAAGATTGGCTTGTCCGCAGTGTACCAAGTACAAAGTGTAGAGGTTTGGCGCTAGCACCGTACGACAGTGTGGAAAAATATGCCGTAAAGGTAGGAAATAAGTAGATCGATGGTGCGGGAGTGGGATGTAATTTGGATGCAGAGAACTCTTCTTATTGTAAAGAAGAGCTATACTGGTGTTTTTACCATTCTTGATATATTGGACTATTTTCTTGGTAAACGGTTCTCAATCCTATAATAGCTTTATCTCTAACCTTGCACATAGTGCTGATGATACTAATAAGGGGGTAGGAAATGGGCGAGGAAAGATGTTTGCCAGGTTTGGCTATAGGAACAACGAGCGCGTGTTTACACATAGCAGGGAAATGTTGCAAACGGATACCGGCGTTTATTATGTACGTGAACAGTACCACAGCCTTCTTTGGTAGGTTATTTTTTAGAATATTGTCAATCTCATTAGCTCCAGGGGCCTTGTTGTTGGGTAGCTTTCTCAAACCGATCGACTTGTATCCCAACACTTCGGGTTTCGCCCGGAGACTTTCGGGAATGATATCTGGGTCTTAGGGTTAAAATACCGTTTCTCTGGTCTTAAGACAAATAAGCTGGGACCAAATTTTTTTTCAAAAGAAATTTTTTAATTTACAAGATTTTTTACAGATCTTCGGTGACCCTAAAGTTTGCAATTTAACTAGTAGAGATATAGCTCAGTTAAAAAAAGTTAACTCAAGCCTTCATTTTTTTCCAGAAATTTAACCTCAATGAGGCAAGAATTAACCTTATCCAATTGAGCTTAAACTTTGTCAAATGTGTTAAATAGGCGTCTACCACATCTCACCAAGGGGAGGGGGTCCAAATTATCAGTAAAATGCCTTATAAAACATTAATTGGGTATACCCAATTAATGTTTTTTGTTTTGTATCAATTTGTTTATAACCTGGTAAAATAAACTTGTCTGAAATAGTTATTAATAGTAAATTTTTGATGAAATAAAGTTTGTACCCATTCTGAAGTATGCCTTGTTCAGTGGCGTACTTATTTTTCTCCTAAACCTCCTAAATCTGTTTTATTTTTCGTTATAAATATTTAAAAAAATGTCTAAAATAGTTATTAATTGTTCGTTTTTAATGAAATTTGGTTTGTACCCATTTTAAAGCATGCCGCATTCAGTGGCGTACTTATTATTTTTTTTTTTCGAAAAAAAGACCCTAATAAATTTTTCGAATTTTGACATAAAAAAAATTTTATGGTAGGCATCTGTCAAGTAGCTTTTAAAATATGTTTTAAATCTTAGATAGAGTTTTTTATTTTCTATCTTTTGAGCCATTATTCATTAGTAATAAATAAAAAGTACATAGACATATTTTTACAAAATACAAGGCCCACTATGTCAGTTTTTGAGAGTAAATTTTTAAGAATTCATATTAGCGATTATAAAAGAAATTTTTGCACGGCACTGGATTCACCACCCCTCAAAACGACCCTATACTAAATTTTAAGTAGGAACGATTTTGTAACCAAATTAAAAATGAACAATATACTAATAAAACTATTTACAAAAATGTATTCTGTCAAGTTATCCATGAAATAACCAATTAAATAACATTAAACTAATAGTAACATGGTATAAATATCTGTATGCTTAGTTTTGACAAATAAAAAACGCAATAGAAACTTAAAACAACAATGAAACAAAAAACAAAAAATAGAGAATGCCAAAAATCCTCTACAATTAGATTAGATAAATGGTTGATTAGTAGAGGTGACGAAAATCTAATGGAGAAGTATTTTTTTGAGTTCTCTATTTTTGTTTCATTGCGTTTATTATTATTTGTTTAAACCAAGCATAAAAATATTTATACCATGTTACTATTATTTTTATTTTATTTATTGTTTTTTTACACAGTATAAAATTTCTGGTAAAAAACAACACAAAAAGTGCTCTATATAGGTATAGGTAGAAATGGTATATCTAACCACATTCAATTTGGTAAATTTTACCCTTTTTAATTAGTTAATAATCTACACGTACTATTCGTAAACAGTGTAAAAATTATCAAATATAATACACTCTTAGGGGTAAAATCAACACGCACTATTGGTGAAAGAACTCAAGAGTAGAAAATGCTCAATTTGGTGTAATTTACTACACAGGTAGGTGTTACGTGTAGGTGTTAAAAATGGTGGGGGTTTTATTAGCATGTAATGTAAAATAAAGTATATTTTATATTACTTACAAACTTTTAGATAGGAATACAAATAGGCTTTGGCATAAAATTATTAACACTACTTAGGTGTAAGTATTCTTATACCCAAGAAGTATTAATAATTTTTTTTTCTTGAATGAAAAGTAGTGTGGAAAACCATAATTAGCTTATATAGGTATATAAAGTAAATATGATTTTTCACAATATATTATAGTATACTAAATTTCATACTTCACTTAAAAATATCAGGTAAAAAAACATGTTTTTTCACAAACATAAGTTGCATGACTACGGGACTTTTTTTACCACAATTTACTAACTTTACACCGAAATATTTTATACTGTGCATGGATATCTTGACAATAAATTTTTGTAAATAGTAATTATTGTGCATTTTTAATTTAGCTACAAAATTGTATATAAATTCTTAAAATCTTTATTTATTGTGCGATTTTAACCGGATTTGTTATATTATATGTCAGTTTTTGAGAGTAAATTTTTAAGAATTCATAAATGACTACCCTTGTATTAAATTTTATTAAAAAACCCCTATATAGGGGGATTCGTAAAACAATAGGAAAGCTTTAAATAATAATTATTTAAAAATGAAAACGGTATAGTTTAGTCAATGTCAAAGAAAATTTAAAAAAATAGGTATATATTTTGTAAACTGTTTATAAACAAAATTAACTTCAATATATTGTTTGAACCTCTTTTTAAATTTTAGTGGTGATATACGTAATTTTTAATAATAATAATAACTAATAATAATAATAACTTTAGACAGGGAAGGGCTTTTACTATTTCACTACCCCAAATTAAAATTAAAATTACACTGTTAAAATAAAATCCACATTTAAACACACAACATTTTTAGGCGACCTTATTATTATAATTTTATTAATGATTTATTAAATAACACTAGTAAACAATAAAAAAAGGTCGGTAATAAAAATAGCTCAGTCCTATAGATTTTAACCTGCTCGACGCAAATCCGGCGCCCAAAAAATTTTCCGAAGTCTCGTTTAGACGATACGGGCAGGACCATGATACAAAGAAAAATTGTTAAATAATAACGATAAAAATTAATAAATAAAAAAGCTCGGTAATGAAAATAGCACAGTCCTATAGATTTTGACCTGCTAGACGCAAATCCGGCGCCCAAAAAATTTTCCGAAGTCTCGTTTAGACGATACGGACAGGACCATGATACAAAGAAAAATTGTTAAATAATAACGATAAAAATTAATAAATAAAAAAGCTCGGTAATGAAAATAGCACAGTCCTATAGATTTTGACCTGCTCGACGCAAATCCGGCGCCCAAAAAATTTTCCGAAGTCTCGTTTAGACGATACAAAGAAAAATTGTTAAATAATAACGATAAAAATTAGTAAATAAAAAAGGTCGGTAATAAAAATAGCTCAGTCCTATAGATTTTGACCTGCTCGACGCAAATCCGGCGCCCAAAAAATTTTACAAAGTCTCGTTTAGACGATACGGGCAGCACCATGATACAAAGAAAAATTGTTTAATAATAACGATATAAATAAGTAAACCAAAATAATTTGAAATTGGAAATATGGAGAAAAGATACCAAGGGAAGTGGAATATTTCAATGTTAGCAGATTACTGTTGGACGCTTCTTCGAGAGGAATCAGAGGCTGTGTATAAGAGAAACATTAAAAAAAAACAGTTATTAGTTTACTTAGTTAGTAGTTTAGTTAGTTATAAGTTAATTACATGTAATATTAGAATAATCGTTGGGTAGTAATTTTTACAATATGTACAGATATGTTGTTCATGGAATGCTGAAATATAAGTTAAAAGTAACGTCATCCTAAAATTTTCAAATGGTGTATCTATGCAATAAATGGTACCAAAATACTGTGCTCCCATTTTTTATTTACGACTTCAGAAAATTTTTTTAAAAACATTTTGGATCTACTTCAGTCATAAACAATCGAAAAATTCTATTTTTAACCAGGACCTTTTTTTTAAGTTAAAATTTGTTGCCTAGTGTAATTATCAATAAAGAAGACAATAATTATTATTATTATAAAAGAAGCCAAAAAAGTGTTATTTCTGCCGCTTTTGATAATTATCGATAGATGGCGCCACCATAAAATGGACAATACTGAAAGCATCCGAACAAGACTTATAGTGGTATTTTTTGGTCGCTGTTTACTAAATCGATTTTATAGTTTATGTCGACTTTTTTGATAAAATAAAATTGAAATATATAATATAAACTATAGTTTTGACACTTAATAAAATTTTTAATAACATAGTTATCTTTCTTTTTTCTTAATAAAAAAATTATTTTTTTGCAATATCACCTTCGCAAACCGTGAAAGGCGTCAAAAAATAATATAAACTCGACTTTCAGACACCCGGCCTGTTCATCGCGGCATTCCGCGATCCAAAGCCTCTTCGTCGACGTCGTCGTCGATGTTGTTCGCCCGTGTTCTCGCCAACATCGAATTACGCCACCGCGTCTCTCGATCGCTAACTTACAAGTCCCGTACGAAGAACTGTAATTGTCGGGTTCAGCTGGCGCACAACGCGCGTTCGCCGAGTCGAGTCCTCCTTGACTTCGTGTGCACGCTCTTCAGCAGTCACAGATAGCAAAACAACAAAATCGACAAACGTCAAAATCGCACCGAGCTACTCGATTGAGGAGCGAGAAAAAATGCTGAAGATCGGATTTTGGAGTTTGTTTTGAGATTTTTCCATTGTGGTGTTTTAAAAGTTAATGCTGTGGTTTATGGTAAGTAATTTGTTAATTATTTATTTAATTGTTAAGTACGGTTGTTAAGTTTGTTTTTTAATTATTAGGTAATTTTTAAATAGATGGTGTGTCCAATTATTAATTGTTGATTGTATTAAGTAAAAAAATAATTAATGAAATAAATATAAAAGGAAAACAATAGAAAATTTAAAAAAATATAAAATGAACCAATCAAAAGCCTTGAATTTTCGAATATATTTTGTTTAGATAAGCTATTAAATCACTAGAACTGTTTAACAGCGATTAAATTTTAGCCTCCATATTGAATTTTTGTTTACTACTTTATGGTGTAATTTACAAGTTTTAACATACATTTTTTAAAAACAATAAAAAATAAGTTATCTAGTTTACGAAATATCAGTTATTAATTATTACATACCTGTAAATTAATGGAATTTTGTTCATAAGTTTTAACAGATTTTATTAATTGTCAAATAGTTTCCTTTAATTTGAGAAAGAATCTAGACGTATATCACGTATATCTATAAATTTAATCTGTCAAACTATGCTCAGTAAGTTTTTTATTTGATTTTTCTTTTTAAAAAATAGTTTCATTCAAAATAATTAAAAATAAAACCCCTCAACCGCTACGCGGTATCGTGATTTTATGAAATTATTTTGCATTCGACATTTTCCAAGAAAAACCAAACAAAAAATACTCAGCCTAGTTTAACCGATTAAATTCATAGTTCTCGTGATATAATAATGTAAGTAAAGTTTAATTTATGTACGGAGGTAAGGAAGATTTTTTATTCAGTAACCCTTAAAATTAATCCCGGCGCATTCGCCATTTTTGCACAAATACATTCTTATTCGGTCTATAGTTTAAACATTAAATATATCTACAATATTTACAATAGATTGCTGTCAACACTCGTTAATAAAGTGATTAATTATGACCTAGGCACTTAATAATATATCGTAAGCGTACAGCGAAAATCCACCATAGTAAGGTGATTTTAAGAAAAATGGATGTGATCTACTCCTACGTTGACGAACTGTGACTTTATGGCATTTTAGTCACGGGCTTAAGTTGACAATAGTGGCTTATGGGTATTTTGGTCACGGGCTGAAGTAAAACTGAGGTTAAATCCGTTAAAAGTTGACAGAATACAATACTTCATCTAAGACAAAGACAAATGGAAATGGAAATTTAAACCCAATTTTATTTGTTAAACATTTGACATCTGTCAACTGCCAACGGATTTAACTTCAGCCCGTGACTAAAACGACATAAAGTCACAGCTTATCAATGGGGAAGGAGATATAATGATTTAGACCAATCGGGTTTAGGTATTTACGGCCTAGGCCGTATTTACCACTTTGGAGCAATAAAAAAGTACTTTTAATAATTGTACGTTTGATGTAATATTTGACAAATAAAATTGTACCTTGATAATAAAATATATTTTTGTGGTTTGCTTAACTTTGAGCTCAGCACAAAACGACTTACTTTTATGTCTAATGACATAAATAACTATTTTAATATACTTAAGGAAATATCAAAGGCCTTAAATAAAAAGTTTTAGTTACTATACAAAATTTAAAAACATATTTAAAAATAACTAATTTAATTAAATTATAATTCACTATAAAAAAAATCTGGACATTTAACATTTTTGAGGTTGTTAATTTATTAATAGGTAGGTAATGGTTTTAGTATTGCTTAATATTAATATTGCTTCTTTTAGCGTTTTTAGGGTTAATATTTTTAAAAGATTTATTTTAAAATCTTCAAAAATAAAATAGATTAATTACCCAAATTTCATATACATTTATGTATATCTAGAGAAAATACAAAATTAAATTTTAATATTAGATTGTCCAATAAGTGAAGAAAAGTGAAGTTTTCTATTGAGTGATAATATCTTGAATTAAATTTTCACAACATAGAAAACCCACTTTTCTTATGTATTGAACACTGTTTTTTGTATTCTTAATGGAAAAACATTAATTTATAAAATTAAAATCATCATAGATCCATGTAATTATATATTTTCTCCTTTTATACTTGTATAATACTACTCATTTTTTTAAATTAAATTTGTCTGGACCCACACATCAGTTCCAAATTAAAAAAATAACAAATTCTTGCAAAATTTGAAGTTAATTGATCAAAAGAAACACGTGTCCCTAAGGGATTTTCTTAGATAATTTGAAATGTATTTGAAATTTGAAATGTTTTTTCGCTGATTTTTTTTAGTATAATTAAGCATATTATATTAAATGAAATAAAAAGCATAGAAATGATAAGGGCACAAGAGGTGAAATATATTATTTTACAAATTATAATATACCAGTATACAGTGTGTCCCCGGATCGGATTTCCAATAGGAAAAACTTTTTTATACCTGATACAGCTAAACCGAGCACAGATTTGGAATCTACGACCAAAAATTATGTTTACGTGTCCGAGCGTTTAGCTGTGATATTTCAAAAGTTAAAAATTTACCGACGGTTTTATTGGAAAAAGTAAAAGAGTAAATTGTAAAAAAGTTACTGCCTAGGCTTTATTATTGTATTTAGAAGCCTTTTAATATGCTGAAATTTTTTTATTGGATGAGCAGTTTTGCAAAAAAAATATTTTTAATTTTTTCTGTAATCTAATAACCTTGGGTATTTTTGCTAGGCAAATTAATATATTTAAAAGCTTTTTTTATTTATTTTAATTTATTTTTACTTTATTTTTAAAGTTTTTTTATGTCTTGAATTTTTTATAATGGAAAAAAATATTTTTATGTACTCCTTCATTGACTAGCTGTGACTTTATGGCGTTTTATTGACGGGCTGAAGTTAACAACAGTGGCTTTTCGACATTTTACGTCACGGGCTGAAGTTAGCTTTATTATAAATTGGGAAAAAGTGAGGTTAAATTTGGATGTCAAAATTTTAACATATAAAATTGGCTTTAAATTCTGTTTTGTGTTCGTCGTAGATAAAGTATAGTATGCAACTCGTTTATAAACTTCTCTAGACACTCGTTTTTATTAAACACTCGCTCGCAAGCTTCGCTCGTGCTTAATTAAACTCGTAACTAAAATGGCGTTTATAAAACTTGATACATAATATACTATTATTTATGTTTACGTATACGTATATATATACATATTTAACAAAATTAAAGAACTAAATAAAACAGGAATTCTAATTTTATAATAGCTTTTAAGTATATTTATTTTCCTATTTAAAAAAATCAATAGGAATAATTAAATGCGACGTCACATGTACTACCCAAATGTGACGTTATATTTTATATAGTAAAAAACTCCATTTTATATTATGACGATTGACACTGACCCATAGAGGTTTTTCTATGCACTGACCTTTGAATTTTAATTTTGCTTTTAAAAACACATTAGATTTAAAAATATGTTTAGTTAAAACGACGATATGGTAATTTATAACCAAATTATGTATTTTCTTAACAAGCACAGCACATAGCAGGGTACCCTGTATATTCTGTTAACAATTTAAAATCTTTTTATTGTCAACATAACTGAAGCGCGTAATTGTTATCTCGACAATTTTTCCTTACCATCGTTCATTAATTTTAATTTTCAAATCATTATAAACTTCTTGCTACGCGTTTTGCTCGAATTTCACTTATAATTCCTGATAATAACTTCGCGAGCACACTTCATTTATTCCATTAAAGTCAGTGAACTTAGGTTATAATTATTATTTCGTGTTTGCATTGAACTTGCCACGGCTACAGTAAGGAATGTTATTGAATTGCCACTTGTTAGTTTTTACGGTCATTTTTATAATTTAATTAATAATTATTATCAAGTGAGTATGTATTGGATGATGCTATTGCGGAAATGTTCGTTTATCTTTAATTGAACAGATGGCTGGCATAAGAAAAAAAATGGAATTTTGCTGTTCAAATAAAATATTAAATTAATGGTTATTTTATAGGGATTCTGTAATGCCCCACTATATTTTTCTATAGGGTCAACACAAGTTAAACCGTTTGTTATCGAAAAAATCCAGATTTATCTTTATCTTTATAAGATATATCTTAATCGTTATAACTTTATAAATAGCAAATCAATGCATTTTTTTATTTATTTATATTTTAAAAACTATAGATATTTGAGTATTTTTATATATTTATTAAACATGGAGCAATTTTTTTATCATTAATTTTTTTCAAACCATTTTGATTTTGGTAAATGATTTAATTTTATTAATAAATGCGAATGCGTTATATACAGGTTGTTACTTAGGTTTGTACAATACATTGAAGACACGATTCTTTGAGTGATTTTAAGACTAAAAGTTTATATAAACATGGGTTCACACATGCATTTTTTCAAGACACAGGGTGTTAAACTTTGATAAACCATAAAGAATATGTTTGACAAAAAAATTACACCACTGATTTTTTTGTAATTTTGATATTTTCTTTTAGATCAAGTAACTAAAAATGCAACTTTTTTGTCTTAAAATTTTGTCCTATTTTGTTTAGTATTTATGAAAAAAATAAAATCTACTTAATTGCATATACTGTGTTGTACAAAAAAAGTCAGTGTAATACATTATTTGACTAAAATATTCGTTTAGTTGCCGCTCGGGAAAACACTGGACTTAAAATAAATTTAATCAAGTTAGAGCTAAATTAGCCCCTTAACACTACAAATAACAATGCGAAATTACAACAAAATTGGGTAAGTAAAGGATATTTGGGATATTAAAAAAACAATTTCAACACCCTAAAGTTATCTCCGCATTTGCGGACCAACGTTTATATGAACTTTTTGTCTTAAAATCACTCAAAGAATCGTCTGTTCAATGTACTGGACATACTTAAGTAACACCCTGTATATATATACATATATATTATTTAAAATTAGTGCGAATTTTTTTAATTTTACATGTTAAATGATTTTTAGGTTAGTTTCAACTGATATGACATTTTAGCTTCATTTTTGTGCTTAGGTTAAATTGACTTTTAAACTAGTACCTAGTATTAATAT